AACGTTCCTCATTCATTCGTTCTACACATTAGCTAGGTGCGAGGAACAACCTAGCCATTGTACGGCAATACCGTTCCATTGGATGGTATTAACAATGGAAAATAACAACACGCAGCAATTGTTATGTTTTGTTTTATATTATGCATTGACGTCGAGATCGCGTTTGGAGGGGGAGCTAAGAGAGAGGTGTTGGATAAGGAAATTCACAACACAGGCGCCACTGTGGTTAGTTCTTCGCCATGTCAATAAATGTCTTCAACGAAACGTGTTCATCGTTTTTCGGACCCCAACCAGGAAGCCGTGAGGCTTCAACCAAGGGCCTTCATTCCTCTCGACCAAGTCATCGCTTAGACTCCCCTCCTCTTCTTTCATCTTTACCCCCGGCGCGCAAACTCCTCACGTCACGAAAGCCGGTAGGCTTGCATGCGTAACGCATGGCTCAGCCGTCGGAACATTGTGTGTGATATAACGGTGCTAAATGGTACAGTTGCTCTTTTTGCACCAAATATGACACGCACATTGCTCACATCCGCGTAGGGGTGGGCGTCCTCGCGGCATACTCAGCCCGCGCGCGACTGGTGGTGGTCGCGCGGCAGCGAAGCGCCGTTACGGCGTACAGCTGGCACATTAGTATTATTATTATTACATTGCTCACATGGTGTTCCCACTAGACATGTGCTAAGCTGCGAAGATATCAATGGTCGTACGTCACAAATCTTTTTACGTCTGTCGATTTGGTGGGCCGTTTCACAACCATAAACTATTGTCGCACAAACGGCTACACTGTAACCTCTGCTCTTCAGAGCGGCCGTGATTTCGCGCCGGCACTACGAATTGCTGATATTGGCAAAGCACCTCGATCTTCTGCCGTGCTTTCTTATATTCCATCGATGCTAATACAGTTGTCCAGGTTGTTAAATTTGTGCACGACTTTAGTTGATCCTCAATAAAGATAATCGCAGGGGGTGGATCGTACCAACCTTAGAATAAAACTGAATTTCGAGTGTGCAAAAAACAGCCCGAAACGATTGACAACTTGTACTAATTTGTCTAGGGCTGCTTGGCTCGTTTGTGAATTGCTGCACATGAAGGCAATAACATCGGTCTACTCCAAACCAAAAAATCGATCATCTGAGAGTCAGTTCACACCTCCTTGATCGTCTCCATTGAAAGCGGTTTCCATGACCTCGTTGAAGGCGAAGTTAAAAAAGAATGCTGACAGCGCGCATTCCTCGCTCACGCCGCCGGGGATATTGATAGCTGGCCACAATTTGGTTCAAGTCGACACTACCTTAACAGCTCACTTAAGGCACTCATAATGTTTAGATGTTGCTCAGGTGCATCTTTCCTTGTCACACAGTCCCGGTGGGCATATCCGTCCACAGACCCGTAGACACCTTCGTTGTCTAGGACCACAACTACAATGAGTCGCCAATAAATAATACTGTGTTCCTAAAGAAACCGAACTTTTGGTATAGCTCGCCAGCATGTAAGGGAGCGCGCTGCGGCTATTGAGGTCACGCAGAGGCTTGTTTAGACAATAAGCTACCATTAGCCGCATTTCGCTCTGGCCGTTAGTTGGTGTGCCGCATATGCTGCCGTCGGTTGACGCGCTATTTCAGAAGTCCGATTTCCTTTTTTAACACACTAGCATAGTGATGTTACAACAACTCATGCAAAGGTAACATGTGTCCAATGCAGTCACGATTTTGAGGAAACCCTGATTGTTCTTCACACTTCTGATTTTCACAGATACCAGTCGATCTGCATGGAACGACAGATTGGTTCCCCTACGATTCCCCCCTTGAATATTGGAACTGTGACGGGACAGCTCCACTTGGTTGAGACAGTTACTAGTTTCACTAATATATGGTGTACATCTCTCACAAGAGCAGATCAACCGAATTTGAAGACGGCTAGAGGTAGTTCATCTGGTCTCGCGGCCTTATTCAGCTACAGCAGTCCGATCTAACGTTTGACCTCTGCGCGAGAGGGCAAGCCCAAAGGGACAACCCAGAGAGCAAGACGATCACTGTCCGGCGTTGAAGTTGATACTTCCGTGAATTGGCTTTTCAAAGTGCTCAGTCCAACACTACAAGCATTGTGGCTAGTTGTGGATATTCCGCCTACTCTCCTCGTGTATAGTATCGTTGACACAAGGTCTTTTACTGCGCGTTTCCCATATTAGACAGAATAACTTGCGGGCGTTAAGAAGGACAGCAACCGTTTCCATTTCCGATGAACGATGAGACTACCAGGTTTCGTGGTCTGTCTTCAGGCTAACACGCAGTTTAGCCCTCAGGTTTTTTGCGATTCTCATTGTATTCGCTCTCAGCTGGTATGTGTCGGCCATCATCAGTCTACACAGACTATGTGTATAAACGCCACCAGTTGCGATATAATCTTTGGAATGACAACTCATTGGCGTCCTCCCAAGTTAGCTACATGTGAACACCACTCCTTAGGCCTTCGTTACTCCTTCAGGCGGCTGCTGTCTGCTTGGGTGCAGTACCTATGCTGGCCGTCTAATCGACACCTACTTAGAAGTCCCTGGATGCCAGTTACCTGACTTGGTCAAAGGAATTGGGCCAAGTTGGCCGACTGCTTCCTTCAACCTACCACTTTTAATGTTCAGACCAGATGATACATGCTTGTAGCTATCTAAAGGTGCAACAAGTGCTGGACTATAATCACAATCTATCGACCACAGCTCGGCCTGTTGTATACATAGTGTGCATCGCTTTTCGCACTGGTTCGACTCCTGCTGCCGTCCTGACCAATGGCATGTTGTCTTACTCCAACTGCGCTTCGACTATATCGACCGACATGCATCGGATTGGTGATATCCCCGTCCTTATTTTTCCCGTTTGGTCCATCTATCCCTTCAGTTATCGTCACAGCGCACCTCGTCATTACCGCTGTGGTCGTAAGGTCATCCGAGTAAGATGGGCTCCAACCGACTCCTAACTGATGCGCCGTTTTATATCAGAACACTAGTGTTGAGTCGTGCAATGGCGAAGTGAACACCACACCGGACAAAATACCCCGGGTATGAAAGTCAAATGCCCGAAGCAAAAGACTCAGATGACAGTTGAAACCTATGGACTTGTGTTCGAAATGAAAATCTCACAAGTGTTGCATTTTTGGGACTAGGTGACAAAGGCAATGTTCTGTTTTACGTGATAAACATGAGTTTGTGAGATGCATTCCCATTATGTACATGTTCACCTACAGTCATTTACACATTTAGCTTGGAACACGCTGTTTGTTCGCTTTTAGTGCGCAGTTACAGTTCCGTAACGCCAACTGGCTTTTGGTTTTCTGGACTCATGTTAACTCGGTTTTAGTGTGCGTACCCTATCAATTGCCAGTGTGTTGTCCTCGGTGGCTCTTTCTCACGCCTCGAAAGCCATGGCACTTGCATGTGAGCACCTGTTTTGCAATAATGGGCTTACCCTGTATAGTAGCGGCTGATATGCTCTGTGGTGCAATACTTATAATACAAAAGAAAGAAAGGCTTCATCAGTACGCCGTTACGCAGTACCGACGCTTCGCTACCGCACAACCACCACCAGTCGCATGTGGGCTAGGGTTACTGCGTGAGTCACCGTGTCCCTATACAGGCTCGAACCCGCGCTCTCAGACAGGCTGGTTATTTAATAAAATCAAACTTATATAATGGCGGCACCGTGTTAACCTTTTATTTTTCCGATCACACCAGCGTTTCAGTAGCACATTCCATTCACTGGTGACCTGACGCTTACAGGTGGGATGCGTTGATTCTAAGTGATACCCACTGCCACTCAGTCGCCCGCAGTTGTCCTCAAATCCAATCTGGTGACAGATGACAACAATGCATTTTATCTAACCACATCATTTATCGGTGATTTTGTGTCCTCATCCAGCCTGGTAAAGGATCATCAAACACTTTACACTGGCTCATCGACCCACACACATTTGAAGAAGCGTTTTAATGCATTATTCACTTGGTTCTTCTACTCGATCTGCTTAATGTGTGTCAGGCATAGAATATCGCAAGTAAACACTTTTAGTGAATTCATTGCTCGGTGCTGTGGTCTCCACATAGCGTTTCACACCTTGCTCTAAACCCAAACCGTCGCGGTCCTTATGGGTGGTTGAGAGTTGAGGGGGCCACAACAGTATAACTAATGTTCGCATTACTGAATGAACTGATCATTCGATTCAGGTGACTGTTCGGTAACAGTAAGAGTCCGGAATCCACCTGCACCTGCCCAGCGTTGTGACAACAACCATCACTTTCAACGTGCGACGCACGTGCACAACCTTGTGGCGATTTACGTCAGTTGGTTTGAAGTTGCTTCCATTGGAGGTGCTCTCGATACTAAGTTGGATACATCATTCGAATATTCTGATTCCTATTCGATCACTTGGGGAAAACTTAGCCCCAGAAGAAAGGCTCAGAGCCGGAATTTGGTGTGCATGTCCTTGCTGAATCTGTCTCCATGAGGGAACTATAACGTTCTGTTGCGGATGAATGCACGTCCTCTAAAGTCGTTTTAGAAGGATTTCGAAATAAAGGCATTTGCTTTATTCAAATTTTCCATTGGCTGCCCTTTGATGAAGTCTAGTTTTACGTTGCCTGGTTGAATTATTACTTGCCGTCTGTAAGTACAGCACTCTCCAACCGTTTTATCAAATTACACTTTTATGTTCAGGACACACTCCTTTGCAGTCCAAAACCTTCTCAAGAGCCACCGTGACATCGGTGCATGGTTCCCATGTGTTTTGTTGCACGTAAAAGCGATGCGTCTCACGCCTCGATACTTTTCAGTTATCGCCTTTTATCTACTGAGCTCATTAGTTTTCACTATGCCTCACAGTCCCATGTCATACCTCCTTGGTCGTGCTTCCTCTACGCCCCAGAGTACACTGGGTCGGCCGTCGCACGGTATTACTTCACGATTGCGACACCTTTCGGATCCTCGCTAACCACCTCATTGATCTACTTCCCATTTCAGTTCCTGCATCCCCATTTCTTCTACTAATGCCTATTCGCCTGAATCTCCACAGGATGAAACGCCTTCATCCCATGCTGATTGGTTAGAAGTGTTATCCCCTGCGGTCCGGACTTTTTGTCCTGAGTGTGCGCGTACCCGTGGGCGGTAGTCCTTCGGCTGTGATTTGCAATGTTTTGTATTACTGTTATTTTTTTAAACTTTTGTATCGCCCTAATTATTGTCTTACTTTCACTTGTTCTCCAGTGTGCCTCCGTTGACATAGTTTATTTTCGATCAATCACTATGTCGCTCCATGGAATCTCGACTGTGTAAATACATTCACACGGTATCTTGTTGTTTTGTTTCCCCTTTCTTGTGTGTGGATTCCACCATTCCATGCTTGTCCGGGCTATGCATAGGTTAATTTGGTTTTTTTTCAGACCCCTTACGTCTCTGTTCCGGTTAACTACGGTATGACTAAGTCAAGTGGTATGGAGTTTAAATGCCCAAAGTGGAAATCACATTAAGTGGACCTACTCGGATCTCCGTCCACACCCGGAAGGCCACTGGAACGCTCTAGGGAGCTAGCCCGTCTTTCCTTTCACAACAGTAGTCTTCAAATCAACAGAGAGCAAGGTGTATCTTTTCACAGTTAACCTAACTCCGTTTGCAAAGTGCTGGCTAACAGTGTAGGTAGCCCTTTGTCCTCCGAAAGCATTACGTGTCCCCAGACTACGAAACGTTCGTCCAGTGTTTTCCCGCACAATTTTGGCTCTCTGATCTGCTCTAATTGTGAAGAATTCCATTTCGTATCTGATTTTACAATCTATACCAACGTCCAACTTGCATCATCGCTCTCTCCTATCACCGGTCATTCTCTAACGCTGGTTTTTTCCACTGCACTCATTCTGAGTAGAATGACGTTGTGTGTCCAGCGCTGGCCTGCTTGGCAATGAGATCGTACCGCATCCGCGGCAATCGTCCCCAAATTCCAACGATCCTGCCACACCCTTGGAGCCTTTTGTGAATTCTGATCTACGAGTCGACGATGCCTTAACCGTACTTAGCATGTGTGCAGAAAGCGGTCTGCTCAGTTAGATCACATTGAACAACCTCCTTTGCGCGGTTTGACTTCATTTTTACCCAGAGTCAATAGACAGCAGTTGATTGTGTAGTACTTTTGTAATCTGTATCCATGCTGCTCTGTGTAGCCCGGGAGCCTTGATCTACGACTCCATTGATGACTTGGATCACAACTGTGTGTATTGTGATTGTCGTTTAAAACATGGACAACCTCGTGAGATGCCTTTCAGGGGATCCGTTTTGAAATTGGTTCTTGTGGTGTCTACCTCACTGACTTTTTTCTCTGGCTATGCCCTAACAGTATTATCTTCGTTTGTGATCTTGCCTTCTGCCACACACGCTGGTATTCATCAACCCTGCGTCCACCGTGTGACACTCTATCTTGGGCTATTTGCCGCTTTGATAACACAGCTCCACATTGTGCACACCAGTGCGACCATTCGTTGAATCGGTACATTAATCTCAACTCTGACGGTAGTACATGCCCGCATAGCCCTCCCGGTTTCAGCGGAGCACTCAACATCGAGGTTACTCACTGTTATTTGTCCATGATGTGATCCATGTTTTTTGCTTATTGACCACCGAGCTGACTGAATCGGCTCCTTGACAAAATCACCTCCATTGTTACATGCACTAGCCACATTTCTCACACCTCTGAGTCATCGATGAGTTTCCAATACTACGACTTCTTTGAACATAGTTAGGAAGATCTTTCTTTTCACTTAGTTTCATAATGTTTACAGCGCCGCGTCCGACTGGGTCAATATGTCTGGCTGATCGTCAGCAACTTATCGTATCATGGGAACGGCTGTTCTTTTTTGGAACAGTAAAGTATTGTGTGTCGCTTGCGATCGCGAAATGCTGTGCCCACAATTTGGTCAGATCATCTTACATAAGTAGGGATATGCTCTTACATGTATTATGCTTGTATGTTTGTCTACCTCATGCAATAATCCTCTTGAGATAGTATCAGATCCGTTAGACCGCAACCAAATAAAAGATTAGTGGTTGGAAGCAGCAAGTAGAGTTCGCTCTGTGTAGCTGCATCATTCGTCGCTCTTAGACATGTACCCTTTATGTTGTGTTCCGCGTCGACAAAGTGTTTTTGTCAAGGGGCTTCTTAAATTCCGACACTGACTTTGCCTCTACTACGTGCTGCAGCAGGTCGTTCCATACATTCACCACTCTGCGTTCGAAACAGCGTTGGTGATCGACCCGCTTCGAATCCGGTACGATAAGCTTGTACCGGTGTCCTCGTGTGCTGCTTGGTGTGCACAGATGAAGCAGCAGTCTCACCATGAGGTAATCTCCCAGATGTAATATCTGGTTCGTCATGATGAGGTCAACCCGCATCCGACAATAAGCTAGGGTGTACAGCCCTAGTTTCTTGCACCGGTCTTCTTACAACACACCTCGTAAGTTGGGAATCAGCCAGGTGGCTACATGCTGCACTCGCTCAATCTTTTCTACCTCCCCCCCCGGGTGATAGGACAATACGCGGGAGAGCCATACTCTAGCATTGGTCGTATTGTTGAGACGAAAAGGCGAGTGGCAATCTCTTCGGACCAAGTGCTGAAGCTGCGCCTGAGCTCCCAAAGCATATGAAGGCTATTTTGGTAAAGCCTGTTCATGTTGTCCATGGACTTTAAGTCGTATCGTGAGAGCACACCGAGGTCGCGCACGAAAAGCGCGGGATGCAACGGTTGACCAGCCACCGTGTAGGTTCAACCATGCTTATACCCAGCCTCATGAATTGCGACGTGGCAGGGTTTATCGGAAGGTTGACCTCTGCAGTCCACGTGGAGAGGCAGTCCAGGTCTTGCTGAATCAGTTCACAGTCATTGGGTATGTGGATTACTCTCCACACCTTTAAGAAATCTGCGAACAGCGCACAAGGTGATTGGAGTAGCTGAGGCACATCGTTTACATGGATGAGAAACAAAATCGGCCCCAGTACAGTGCCTTGGGGTAAGCCACTGCTCGTTGCATACCAGTCAGTTAAATAATTCTCCACTTGGACCATCCACTTTCGATCAACAAAGAAATTCTTGATTCATCGATGCAGCGCGCCATCAACACCCTCAGCCTGTCAAGGAGCACTGCATGATTTACCTTGTCAAAAGCCTTACTGAAGTCAATGTAAATGACGTCGACCGATTTGCCTTGGTTCAGCGCTTGTAACCATTCGTACCTCGTCAACAGTAGGTTGGTGATGCACGAGCGACCTTTCACGAAACCATGCTGTGCGGCCGTCAAGAGGCTTTTCGACTCGAGAAGCTGCAGAAGGCTCTTCTTCACCATCTTCTCTAGCGTCTTTGCCAAAGCAGCGGTCAAGCAGATCAGCCGGTAATTATTCACTTTGCTTGGGTTACCACCTTTCGGTATTGGCTTTACAACTGAGCATTTCCAGTCGCCCGGTAATATTCCAGTGGATAGTGACATGTTGAACAGCTCAGTTACAGAAGGCGAGATGATGGCCGATAGGGACTTGAGAATCAGTGGGTGGGTTCCATTTGGCCCAGCAGGCTTCGTCCCGTCAAGACTTACTAGAAGCTTGCGTACCTCTTCAATGCTGCAGTCTAGGCTGTCTAGTTCACCGGGAGCGCCACTCGTCGAACTCGTTACAGACACCTGGTCACTTGCAAATACGGAGGCGAAGTGTGCCGCCAATGCGGACGCACGATCTGTGCTCGATATTAGGAGCTGTTCATCTGAGCCTTCCAACACTGGCAGATTGACTGCAGACCTCAGACGCCGCTTCACGTAGGAGAAGATCCACTTGGGAGCAGTTTTTGCGGCGGTTGTAAGCTCCTCTTCGAAACTTCTGCGGTTTTTTTCGCGTTGTTGCAGAGATTTCGCTGTATCTTGTACGCCTTGTAGTCCTCATCAGACTAAGTTAACACGAATTTGTTCTATAGTATGCGTCGTCGTCGAGCCAGTTTGCTACACTCTTTTTCGAACCAATGTGGTTTTACTGGCTTCACTTTTCCATACTTGTGGGGTACAAATCAGGCGCACAACAATTTCACTCCTCTTTATCGATAGTCCAACGGGTTTCAATAGACGAATCCTGTGGTAAAGACCAGTCCATCTGGCTGGCTGCTCGAATGAGGCCATTAAAGTCCGCCTTCCAACAGCTGGATGTTTGCTCCAGCGGGGTAGAATACGGCAGCGGCAGTTCTAAGCTGACTATGATCATCGAGTGGTCACTGGCTCCCAGAGTCTCCAAGACTTGGATGTCATGCACACGTTGCTCACAGCTGGTCAAAAGCAGGTCTAAGCACAATGGAATCGTGTACTTTGTGTGTCGGCTTGTTCCACATGCCAGACATTCTTTATGGAATAGTTGCGCGGTGATTTCCAATCTGAAGAATTTAACCATTGGGAGACAACGCTCGCTTATCATCAATAGTTTGGAGTTTCATTGAGGAAAATACTCAGCTCTATTGTCACACATTCTCCGTTTTTCACACAGCACGTTTTGTTTTTTGGCCCAGTGGAGAGTGCTACTTCAATTCCAGTGTTCCAAGCTAAAATCCTAAAGCAGTTGTCCGTAAATCAACCAATGAGATTATAGATAATAATCCACCTCGGAAAAGTGCAACGTGAGACGTTTTGCTAATCAGTTTCAAGCACAGTTAACTGTAGTGTTGATCACTTGAATTTTTGTTACGGGCCCGTCAAATATCCCCGCATAAACGCACCACGAACTCCGGCGTAATATCTGTGGAAAGCGAGGTCCAATTCCTCCTCACATCGTAGCAGTTTTTAGCCACTCCGAGACGCCGCACAACTTCGCATCTGTTGACAATGCTCTTTTACAAACTACCACCCCGTCATGGTAGTTATTTTCCCTAACTTAATGACCCATTGCATTGTCTGTGAGTCGCCCTTTGTTGGTCGTAAAAGGGCATTCAGAGGGCCACTTGCCCTTCTTTCTCTTCGCCGTTAGTTGGGAGTCGGTCCGGTCACATGATTTTGTGTGCGTCCATAGCCGAGCAACGTTCGCGTCTAAGCCATTAGCGCGCGTCTACCGTAACCCAAATCCGTCCGATTGGCCAGCGTTCCAAGCAGTTACTGTAGGCGTGCTTCAACCGTGTCAGTGACAATCTTGTCAGGCGTCTCTCAATCTTAATTTTTTAACCATTCGGTACGTGGGAGGAGGAAGTCGGATGCCATTCGAGTACGGTTGTACTTTAGGTCATAATTCCAAAGTGGCTAGTTAACCAGAATAAATATAGCATATCCGTTCAAGTAACAAGATG